CCTGTCTCAATGTTTCTACACAGTTTTGTTTGTTTTTCAAATGCACAGCCATGTTTGTCCGTCTCCACCAAATTTTAGAGAGAGAGAAGGTAGAGAGAGATGAGGGAGAAGAGCATAGAGAATAGAGAGGCGCTGAAGGAAGCCAGAGAGAGAGTTAGGCGCATAAGAGGAGAAGCGCCCTGAGAGCGGTTTAGAAAATTGGCGCGCTGTCAGAGCTTTTAAAACCAGCCCCTGCCTGCCATGCCCATCCAGTGCCCATTATCACGCCGCCCATGATCCTTTTCTGTCGTCCCTACTATTAGAAATTTTATGCCACGCGCCATGCCTGCCGCGCCTGCCACGCCATGGTGTTGAGAGATACATGCCTGCCATGCCAGCGCCTATCATCCTGCAGTGCTATACGCATGTTGAAAAGGCTACCACGCCAGCATGCTTATATCGCGCGCGCGCGCCAGCAGCAGAGAGAGAGAGAGTGAGGCAGGCGAGGAGCATGTTGGGAATAGGCGGCGAGAGGAGAGAAAGGCCAAATGCCAAACCTGTAAGTAATAATAATAATAATAATAATAATAAGATAAGGGGGGGGTATAAGGCTACACAATACATTGAGAGATAATAGGGGGATCTGGACTCTCCTTCTCCAAGTCTCTGTCCCTGTCCTGTCGTTCTGTCTCCGTCCGATCCCGTCCGATCCTGTCTGGGCTGGGGATAGAGAGGGAGTAGAGGGAAGGGAAGGGAAGGGAAAGTGAGGTCGATGTTTACCAGATGATTTCCATCAGGAGACATTGGGGAATCAATTCAATCTGAAATCAACTAAAAAGCAAGAAAGAAAGAGTTGGTTAATATTGGAATAATATAATAATAATACACAGAAACAGGCAGGTGGTGCATGGTGAGGCAGTGAGGTGGTGGGGGGGGGGGGAAGGGAAATGAAAGAAAAGATGGATATGGATGATAGAGACTCCACTACTAAAAACAAAAAACGCAGCATGCAGGCATGCGCAGGCAAAGGCACATGGTGAATCAACTGGGAATCAACTGCAATCCTTCCGCTTGCCTGGTCAATGAATGGACCGGTTCCCATCTGAGGGAGTCACTGTCAATGTCACCATCAATACCAACACACACACACACCATGTTGTCTGATTGATTTATTTTCTATTTTTATGTGAGACAATATTCTCCATCACCTCCTTCACTCCTCACTCCACTCCTGTGAGGAGAGGAATGTGAGATGAGAGAGGATGGTGGTGGCATTGTAATGGGATGGCTGGAGCCAGGCATGTTTTGATATTAAGATTATGAGTTGAGTGAGAGGATAGATTGAGGAGAGATAGGATCGGTCGCCTGTCGATTGCCGTCGAGATTTTGAGATCGGATTATTGATTGATGATTATTGATTGATTGATTGAATGGATCCGTCTGTCCTGTCTGTCCTTTCTTTAATCCCAGGGTAGGGAAGATAGATAAGAGATAAAGATTATTATTATTATTATTATTTTCTTTTGCAGTGTGGACTTTTTTGCCTTGCTTTTCTTAGTTATGGTTTTGTCTTAGATTTGACTCCCCAGGTGGCAGGTGCAGGTGCAGGTAGTAGAGTAGAGTAGAAGTAGAGAATAATAACACAATACTTACCACAATAATAATAATAATAATAATAATAATAATAATACCTCCTCCACCACTCCACCAATCAATCTAAAAAAGAGACCATCTGACCATTTTGAGCGATTTTAGAGAATCCACCATCTAAATGGAGAAAAAAAAGTTTTTTTAGGTGTAGGTAGATCCAGTGATTTATGAGAGAAGTTCAATTCTACAAGCTCAGATTCTGTTAAAGAGGGAAATGTTTTTTGGACAGAAAACTTCTGATTTCATGGATCTTTTTGACATTTGTGTAGAAACTCCTCTATCAAATCTATTACAAAATTGTTGAAAATGTTTCAACATTGTTTATGATCTTTTAATATTTTTATTATTAAAAGAAGGAACTCATTTGTTTCTGTCGTACAAATTACATTTGCCATTCATTTTGAAATGGAGACACAGTCTGCTCTCAGTCTTATTTTTCCTTATATGTAATACTCAGCTTCTGCACTGTCACTCAATTTTGCATCACTAACGGCTGGGTCATGTTATTTTAAAAGTGTCAGGGGCAATCTGGGTGGCTCAGTTGATTAAGCTGTCCGAATTTCTGCTCAGGTCATGATCTCAGAAGCAGTCAGGGTTCAGCCCCCCAAAGCTGGGCCTCTGTGTTGACAGCCTCCTGAACTCCTGAACCTGCGATTTAGCAGAAAATGCTCAGTTTTAGCTTATAAAAATAATTCAAATGACATTAAAATTTAGTTCATTTCAAGTGCTCATTGTTTACATACGAACGGTGAGATCTAGATTTTAGTGAACTTTTTCATCATGTTTTGCGCGCAGTTGATAAATCACCGTAAACACCGAATAAAGTTGCATCCACTCTAGTCAAACACATACCATTGGTGGTTGTGAGAAGTCTCAACAAATTCATATGCCAAAGGTCCATCCTTTTCTCCTGCATCATTGGATAAAAATACCTTCCTTCAAATATTTGGGAAGCGATAAAAGCTGGTCACCGTAGTCCACTAATTTGCTTAGAATAGCTCTACTTTATGCCTGTTTCAAGTCCATTACTAATATCATTCCATTTTCAAAAAAAGTTACTTGGGATGATAGATTTGCAATTTGTTCTAGACTAATGCAAAGTATCTCTAAAATTGTATGTATGGTAGTAAGCTAAATTCCTCGGAGACAGCCCATGCAGTGAGAACCAAGTAGATCAAGTATCTCACTACACTTTCCAAGAACACCCCCAAGGAGGAACATCTAGATTGTGACTACAAATGTTATAAATGTTTTGCTTATAACTTTAAAATGAGCAGATTTCTGTTCTTTCTTTGGTAGAAAAGTTTGGTAATTATGTTTTAAAGTCTGCCTTCTGCCCTTAAAGAGGTCTGATATTATAACAAATATAACACAAATCTAGACTGCGGGAGTAAAGTCCAGTTTCCATACATCAAGCTTTCATCGAAATGCTTGGGACTTTTCCAAAGAAGACCTAATAGATGGCTAACAGACACATGAAAAGACATGCCCACCATCACCACCATCAGGGAAATACAAATCAAAACCATGAAATACCACCTCCACACCGGTCAGAGTGGCCAAAAATAAATGATCAGGCAACAACAGGTGTTGGGAAGACGTGAGAAAGGGGAAACTTCAGGATGCTGGAATGCAAACTGGTGCAGTCACTCTGGAAAACAGTGTGGAGGTTCCTCAGAAAATTAAAAATAGAATTACCCTATGACCCAGCAATAGCACTACTGGGAATTTATCCAAAGGATATAGGAGTGCCATTTTGAAGGGGCACATGCACCCCACTGTTTATAGCAGCACTATCAACAATAGCCAAGTTATGGAAAGAGCCCAAATGTCCATCAACGGATGAATGGATAAAGAAGATGTGGTATATATATATGCAATGGATGTGATGAAAAAGAATGATATCTGGCCATTTGCAATAGTGTGGATGGAACTGGAGGGTATTATGCTAAGTGAAATAAGTCAGTCAGAGAAAGACAGATATCATATGTTTTCACTCAAATGTGGAATTTGACAGAAGACCATAGGGGAAGGGAAGGAAACATAAGTTACAAACAGAGAGGGAGGCCAGCCATATAAGAGACACTTAAATGCAGAGAACAAACTGAGGGTTGACGGGAGTGGGGGGGTTGGGAGTGGGAATGGGTGATGGGCATTGAGGAGGGCACTAGTTAGGATGAGCACTGGGTGTCGTATGTAAGTGACGTATCACAGGAATCTACTCCTGAAGCCAAGACTACACTGTATACGCTGTATGTTACCTAACTTGAGAATAAATTATATTAAAAAAAGCAACATTGTAATGCTAAAAAAATAAAATACATCTTAAAAATAAATGTAGTTTAAAACTTTCAAGTCTAGATAATTTGTAGCAAGTTGTTAAATTATTGCACTGGAACTAGGCTAACAAACATATAAGGAAGACATAGCAATTATTTGCACATAAATTATTTTCCTAAGTTGCTGGTAATAGTTTGTTCTCTTAAGTGAGGAAGTCTAACACACAGTAAATGTTAGCTATGTGACTGGTATTATACTAACAAAGCGTCATATCCCATTTATCAAATTTAAGTTTTATGACGACCCTGAGAAGGAGGTATTATTCACATTTGATAGGTAGGGAAGCTGATGCTCAGAGAGGTTAAGTAACTTCCTTTAAGTCACATAGCTTGTGAGTGGCAAAGCCAGACCTATGAACTCTGCACAATGTCCTTCCAGGTTACAGTGCCTGGCTTATTGTAGAAGGTTCGTGAGATCCGTAAGTCATGCTTTTGGGAGACAATGTGGGCAGTGACCTCGGTGGCTCCCTGGTTTCTTATTCTAGAAAGAACTTAAGAGTCCTGGTTTCCCAGAATTTAGGATACTCAAAACAAGCATTTCTGTATGCAGTAAAATCTAGATGCTGAGAGTCTGGATGGAAGTTGAGTTATCCAATCTTCTTAATCTCCTCACCCGTCCTCCTGCCCTCCCCAAAACCCAGCAACCTTTAAACACACTTTAAATAAGTGTTAGCCTGGTAAGAATATTATTACATCCTTAATTCAGCTATCAATGAACTTGTAGTATATGATACAGTTTTTGGAACTGGGCTAGGCAATTCTATGACGGCAACTTCAAAGAGGGGTTTGCGCTACAAAATAGGGTGTGACTGGAAAAAGCATGGGTTTGAGAATGAAGCAGGAACGAATCTGAATCTTGACGGCCAAGAACGCCCTGTATCTTTAGACAACTTACTTAATTTTTCAGAGCTTCAACTTTCTTATCTGAAACTGGTAATATTCCTTAACTCACAGAATTATTCAAATAGTCAAATGTTATTACTTGTTGCGATTCTAATAGTGTTAATGTCTCCTTTGGTATGTAGATCCCAAATGTGGTACCGTTTCAAAGTGACATCTTTCATTTTAATTCTTGGGACTACTCATGGTGCCTTTCGATCCCGAAGATCTGTAAACCCTGAAGCAAACATGAATATCGTAAGCTGCTAGGAAATAAATGCTGAGTTGCCAAAGTAACAGAGAATACTAATCTTTCTTTAATTTGGGGGTGCTTTTATTTTAATAGATCTGCAGTCAAATTTATATCCTTGCATCCGTATATTTTGATATGAGTCAGCCCACAGTCCCCATTTACTGTTCTGTAGCTTTAGCCTTATTTTGTCCCTGGTTGAAAATGTATATAAATATTTATGGAGGACTAACAAATTCTCTTTTGTATACACGCATAAACATACAAATTTCAGACCTAAGCTTACCTATGAGCATAGACATACAAACATCTTTGAATAAACATATATTTTTAAATTGTATCTGGTTGAGTAAAAGCATGACCGATTAGTAGTTAGAAAAAAGTAATGTATAAGACTGATGAATATAATGTATAACACCTTGGTAGGTGTTCTAGAAATATCTATTACTGAAGGCATCAATGAACTAGTGAAAAAAATAGTCCTAATGTTGAGACGGTATGAAGGTCCATTATTACATTAATAGGTTAGATTGTTATCACATTACATTAACAGACCAATATACTAAAGGTTTCCTTTTTCTTTATCTAGAGCCAAATTATTTCCTATTGGGGCTACCCAGGTGAAGTGCATGATGTTGTAACTGACGATGGTTACATCCTTGGCCTTTATAGAATTCCTTACGGGAAGGCGAACAATGACAATTCAGGTAATATTCAATCGAGAACACATTGGTGACTTTCTGGGACCTGAGATTCTTCCCTTTGCCACTTCTTTTCAGTAAGTTTAGGACAAGAAAAGGATTTAAAGATTGAGTGCACCGAAAACTTCTCTACGTGCCTGAAAAAGAGAATGTGATGTTCCACTGGTTTCCGGTTCACAGAGGGTTTTGTTGTGTGTGTGTGTGTTTTTTTTAATGTTTATTTATTGTTGAGAGAGAGAGAGAGAGAGAGCGAGCAGAGAACAGGCAGAGAGAGACAGAGACACAGAATCTGAAGCAGGCTTCAGGCTCTGAGCTGTCAGCACAGAGCCCGACATGGGGCTGGAACTCTTGACCCGCAAGATCATGAACTGACCCAAAGACCAATGCTTAACCAACTGGGCCACCCAGGAGCCTCTGGAATGGTTTTATTTATTTATTTATTTATTTATTTATTTATTTATTTTTAATTTTTTTTTTTAACGTTTATTTATTTTTGAGATAGAGACACAGCATGAATGGGGGAGGGGCAGAGAGAGAGGGAGACACAGAATCAGAAGCAGGCTCCAGGCTGGGAGCCATCAGCCCAGAGCCCGAAGGGGGGCTCGAACTCACGGACCGTGAGATCATGACCTGAGCCGAAGTCGGACGCTTAACCGACCGAGCCACCCAGGCGCCCCTGGAATGGTTTTAGAGTGAGGTGGAACACAAATTGTTCCACGTTTTCTTTGTGGATCACTCTACTCATACGTGTTGATTCACTACAAGTTCTTTGTTTCATGAGGGGTTAGAAATGTAACAGGGTAACATTATTCTGTAGGTTTGAAAAATGGCTGGTAAAAATTTCCTTCCTCGTCTTTTGGCTCTCTTGTCTACGAATAGCAAAGAGATCAGGTTGGTAATAGCCTCATGGTTCTTTACTCCAACAATAAGGTACATCACTATCAGAAAGTGAGGTGAAAAGATAAACCACTAAAATTTGTCACGAGGATTATAATTCTCTATCGGCCACTTATGAGCAGAATATGTAACAGATTACTTCTGCTTACTCATCTAATTGCTCAAATAAAAACCAACCTGTTTTGGGCTGCCTTGGTGGCCCAGCCGGTTAAGCGTCTGACTTTTGATTTTGGCTCAGGTCATGATCTCCTGGTTTGTCGGTTTGAGCCCCTCATCGGGCTCTGTGCAGACAGCTCAGAGCTTGGTGCCTGCTTTGGATTCTGTGTCTTCCTCTCCCTCTGTCCCTCCTCCTCTCATGCTCTGTCTCTCTCTCTCTCAAAAATAAATAAACATTAAAGAGAATTTAAAAAACAACAGTCAGCCTTTTTTTTTTCTTTCCTCTTTAGATTTTCTCCCTGAGAAGAATGTTTCTCATATTATAGAATACCGTCTCAAGTTCTCATTTTGAACATTAAAGTACATTTCAGAGAAGATATTAATTTGAAACCACCTCCACCAATGTAATTTGGGATCCTTATAAAGGTCACAGCTACTGGACAGAAAATATTCACATAGATTTAACATAATCATAGTGATCACTTTTCAGGGTATGATCTAATTTCACGAATACTGTAATAAAATATTCAAAGGGAATCTAAAAATACAGTAAGGGCTTTAGAGTTGTCTAGAAGCAGGGCCAGAGACAGAGATTCAGGTGCATGTGACTTATTGCTGGTCTACCGTCAGGAGAAGGTCCTATGGAAATCAGGGGAGGGCAGGGGAAGGAGCTAAGGAAGGAAGGATGGGACTCAGCTAAGTCCAGATGCAATCTGATCTCAGAGGAGCCCGTGGGTCCGTGAACTGACTACCAAAGTGGTCCCGCCTTGAAGTTAGGGAATTAGCCTCACTCTCCATGTTGCCACACCTTTGCCTGAAGGCTACTCATAGAAATAGATATAATCTCCTGCGTGAGGCAACTGCCACTAGCCCGGGGCCAGTCCTACAGAGAAAGGGGCAATAATGAACACTCAGAAAGTAAAACCCACAGCAACTAGAAGAACGGTCCCCCTGCTTAGTAAAGGAAATCTAGATGGGACCCCAAAATAACAGAGTGCACCCCTTGTGTTGCTAGATCCGTCTGTTTTTCACATTAAGTTTCTTTCATCCCGGTACAGGTTTTCCAGGATTTTGGAAGGTCCGAATTTCTGGGAAAGCTTACAAGAGGAGGGAGAGGGAAAGAAATTATGGCATCTGCTTTTGCAGGTGACCCTAAGGCCATGACTGGTGCTCATACATTCCCAACTGTATTACCCAGTGTCGATTCCCCTCCCTCTGAGCTGTCTTCCCTGATGTGGCCATCCAGGTCCTCATCCCTAAGGGCTACCGTGTCCATAACAGGTCACAGTTGCAGTATTTACACACTTACAGGTGAGACAAGGCACGGGAGTAACAGCAAAAGATATCCCAGTGAATCACATGAATACCAAATGTATTTTTCTATCCTCATCCTGCATCAGAAGCCCTACCTCCTCATGATGATCAGGACCCATTACTCCTGCCCAGGTAGTAATTCTTTTCCTTGCCCCCAAGTCTTCCAACATGAGGAGCCCAAGTGACCAGGCGGCAGTCATAGCTTTCTTCTTTCTTTTCTTTTTTCTTTTCTTTTCTTTTCTTTCTTTTCTTTTCTTTTCTTTTTTCTTTTCTTTTATTTTTCTTTCTTTTCTCTTCTTTTCTCTTTTCTTTTCTTTTCCTTTCTTTTTTCTTTTCTTTTCTTTTTCTTTCTTTTCTCTTTTCTTTCTTTTCTCTTCTTTTCTTTTCTCTTTTCTTTTCTTTTCCTTTCTTTTCTTTTCTTTCTTTTCTCTTTTCTTTCTTTTCTCTTCTTTTCTTTCTTTTCTTTTCTTTCTTTTCTTTTTTCTTTTTTTTCTTTCTTTTCTTTTTTCTTTTCTTTTCTTTTCTTTTCTTTCTTTTCTTTTCTTTCTTTTCTCTTCTTTTCTTTTCTTTCTTTTCTTTCTTTTCTCTTCTTTTCTTTCTTTTCTTTCTTCTTTTCTTTTCTTTTCTTTTCTTTTCTTTTTTCTTTTCTTTAGATGTTTACTTCATGAGCTAGTGGAAGTGTTTTCTGCCTTAAACCAGGACCTCCAGATCTGAAGAGCCTTCAATTGTGAGGACAGAAAGTGCAAACCCCTGAGTGAGTTACTGGGTATTAGTGTCACACCTAATCCCTTATTTCTCAGATTCATGCGTTCTACCAATTAGGGGAAGCAGCACTATGTTCTGGGCGTTTGTTTAAGGTATATAATGAGTCCTGAAGGATCGCACCCGTGCTTACAGGACTGCATCTCCCAGCTGGTTTCTCTTCCGGGGTGTTGTTTCATTGCTCTGCGAGGCTAACAGCCTCGTGAGGGTTGTTATGTGGTAAAACCAGTGGCCTTCTAATGAACGCACCCTCTTTGACCTGGAGTGAATTCCTTTATTCAAAGTAATATCATGAGGGGTTTCATATTTGTAGATCAGACATTCCATGAACTCTTGAACAGTAGTGCCGGGTGTGGTTCTGTGTGGTAAGAAAGGTAAATCATAGCAGAAACAGATACCAATCCTAGTCATAGTGAACTGCGGCCCTTTCTAGGAGAGAAAGGGTCTGATGTACACAACTGGTCTCCAAGTGGCTGGTTTGGTCTTTTCAGGGGGTGCTACTGTGTAAGATCTCCTTTGCAGACAGGTTAGACACACTGCCCGGGCAGTAGCTAGATCTGCTTTGATGAGGGGCTCACATTGGGGGGCCAGTTTAGCCTACATCTCTGTCATCGTGGCTCCTCCTTGGTGAGAAGCCCAAACTGGGGCAGCCAGTTTAGTCTACATCTCTGTCTTCATGGCCCCTCCTTTTGTGAGCCCCCTGCATAGCACTGGGATGGCCAAGACCAATGTCCAGCTGACATCTGCTGGTTAAGTCACCCTATGCGCTTTTGGTTGGCTAGTGTGCCCTGGGAAGTACTTGTTCCCTTCCTGTGCCCTGGCCCCCCGACTGAGTATTGTTCTGGAGGGCGGATGGGGAAAAGACCAGAGGAGAGCGTCTTACCTTCCTGCGACAACTGCACCACAATGGACACTTCTGTAAGACTCTTTCCACTCTTTTCTGTGAAGTTCATGTAGGGTTCATGGGATGGAGTTTATAGGATGATATGGACTTTCCCCATTTCGACTGTACCCTGTTCTTCACACCCTGTCCTGTCCTTGGAGCTTTCTCTGGCCTTCGCTAATTCTTCAATGATTCTTCCCAAACTATTCATATTGGGTATCCCCCATGAAGAAGGGCTATGTCTCCTCTTTCCCTGTAAGCACCTGTCTCTCCTCAGATTTGGGGCCAGATTTTTGCTCTGTGAATCAGCTCCCTGATATGTATATTATATATATATATA